AAATTGTCCCACATCATAGGTGCGCGCGAATCCCGAGACTTACGGTCTCCGTCCCCGATTATGGCTCCTGACATGACTTAAAAGCGGAGCTCCCATAAAATCCTAATCATCTACTGAACCCAAAAACCTTTAAAGAAATTCAGCAATAAAAATAAATTGAACAACAAAACAAACAAACAAACAAACAAAAAAACAAAACCCCATATCACTACATCTGAGTTTCAAATACCCAGCTCAAGGCAAGCGTGATTTGAACCGAAGAAATCTGGGAACTAGGTACATGAAAATAAGGTCACTTTGCGATCCGCCATCTTTGTTTTGCAGGTACTGGATACTCGACATTTGCAGCTGTTAGAGACGTCTACTTAACGCGATAAATCCGAGCTCGCTAGCAAACAAATCCGATTTTCAAAATACAAAACCGACATGCAAGTCTACATAAGCTCGAGCGCTTGATAGGAGACAACCCTGAAACATGGAGCCCAGATTCCGGAAATCGAAAACCCGAAACCAGAGTTATTGAAATTGAGAATGACAACAGAAGTTCCTAGTAGCCTACGGACTTGAAAAATTGTTTTATCTTGAGTCATTTGTAAACATTAAGACATCGAGAGCTCCGCAACGCGTCGCACTAGTTTGCTGGAGAGATAGGTAGACGACAATAGAAACAAATCGTTTGGGATAAGTGGCCACAAATGTGACGAGTTTAATTGAAACTAAGGTTACAAACAAAGATTAAAATCTTTTCAGGAAAGGTGGGGTTAAAACTTTCGCCACCACTAAAATCTAAAGTAAAATACTACATAAGATATGTTGGCAGTCTGCAGGTCGGTGACCGGGGAGGTGGAGGGAAAAAGACCAAATACGTCTGAACGCTAAAAAGCAGAAAAGCTCTTCTTACGATGATGGCAACAGTAGAAAGGGGCCGCGTGTACGAGATAACCAACCTTTTGTACTTAGCTTTGACACGCGCCCATTTTTCATTGGACAGGAGACTTCCATTGTTACCAGATTAGAGCACAACCCGCAAACTGATAAGAAATAGGAAATGCCTCGCGATAAAATAACATTATGCTTTCGGTTACCGGCATAATGTTTCTTTTTTTCTATCTAACGTTGATAGTGCAAACGAGAAATATAGGAGTGAGCAGAAAACTTTGCAGGTCCAGGCCTACGGGCCTTGTATTGGTGGAAAGACTTGAAAGAATTGAAAATCGATATTCAGAAACGGGAGGAGAGGACTAACGATTTACTCTACAAATGTCATTTGTTCTTATGGAGAGTTAAAGATATAAGAATGAAACTAGGATGATTTACAAAGCACTTTCCGTTTCTCGTTTTCCAGACCGAAGTTTGTCTTCCTTATAGGTGGGCATTGAAACGATGCTTTGCAAAATAAGTAAAGGCTTTAACCTGAAATTATGTTTCATAAAACCTTAACAGAAAAGATGGTCAACCGGAGAAATGATCGTCGAGGGAGATGTTACAACAAGACACCATAACGGCGACTCAAGCGAGGCGGCGTCGGACGATATCGAGACCACAATAGAAACTAAGGGCGTACGATGCGAGGCATGTTTTTTACGTACTT